ATACATTCGTATATGTCCGGCAAATAATGTCATTATGACAAATACCATATTCAGTTATTATGTATACATGTATGTATATTGTATAATCATCACAACTGTATATTATTGCTTATGTCCATAATATCATTCCACAAATTCCGACTTTGACCGAGTGATAATATAAGTCCAATATGCGTTCCGTGTGCAAAATGTCGTCTCTTCTCTGGTCGGTGGATAAACACCATTGCATCTAAGATTTTCTACAGGACATTTATGAGTATGAAACACAATCCCTTAACGGACTCATCGTACACCTATACAATCATTGAATGACGCTGTTGGTATTTAAACAATATTTGTTTTGTGATGAAACAAAAAATACATTATCAGATACTATACTATAGATATCAGAAGATGTGGTGTGAGAGCCAATGAGTCAAATCTCCATCCAAGTCAAAATTTGTAAAAGTAAACCATTATAGGCCAATGTACGCAAAATACATGTTATTGCGGCAAAGAAAATAACTTATAGTAAAACGATAAAGAAAAATAAGAAGAAATGGCAGGTATAAACGCACAAGAGACAGATTATTCGGTCTGCACATGTCTTTATTCCTTATTAAAAAAAGACAAAAATTGTTTTCATTGTTGACGGCCGTACAGTATCTCCTTATTGAAATTTTGAATAAGATGTCACTGCCAGTGTTCATGTATAATAAATGATTATATTGAAGAACTTATGTTTCTATTTACGTAAGTCTTACATCCACATTTTTTCCTCCAACAAACAGTCTGATGTATAATAAGTTTATAATGTACACTTTTTTAAAGCTTCGTGTGTTGAGTTTGAACATGTTCGTTTCAGCGAAAATAAACAGTGAAAATGAATCGAATGCTTGAGGATTTTATTTGTCAGTCAAGCATGTAAAGTTTTTATTCCACGATTATGCTTTATCTACAATACTGCTCATTTCCACGACATTTCACTAGTAGAAAGATTTTAGTCTGAAACGGTCATTTTGGTCTGATCAAGTCTGAATTGACTGAATTTACCGCTAGGGAAAAACGTTAAGACTTTTCAGATTTTAAGACGCTGTTCAGATATATCGTGTTCAGTCCGTTCAACCATGTCAAGATAAACAAGACAGAAGGCTCTAGCTGTTAAAAAAGATATGTTAAGACGGTTTTAGACGAATTCAGACCAAACATAAAAAGTGATGTTCAAACTTTTCAGATCGGGTTAAGATCCGTAAAGTGTCTCAGAATTATATTAAGAGTTACGCCCCTTCATATGGATGATACATTTTAATTACAAAAAATGTACAATATAAATTCAAGAATGAAAAAACGTATATTTTGAATAATTTAAAATAAAATCATTGTTTGAACTTTTTTTCTGTTGGTCTTTTTTTAAGAGATTAGGGAATTAATATATATATATAAACTTTTGTTAATTTGTTTTGTTGACGAAATAAATTATTCGCCAATAACCGTTTATGATTTTATTTTATTTCTTATTTGATGTTAATTTATGTATTTATCTACTTATTCTTTGAAAAAAAGTAATTGCAAATTCTAAACATAACAGAAAAAAAAAAGATTGAAATACCTTATAAATGGCATGCGTCTGAAGCACGTTTCTGGATTTCACTTTATCAGGAACGATCAACGCAAAATACGAATATGTTTATGTCAGATAATTCATATCGTTAATTTCGTTATCTTTCGATACTTTCCTCTAAAACTTATAATTACTTCGTGGCATTGAATAATCATTCCCCGTGCAAGTTATTCTTTTTTTATATTTGGGCAAGCGTCTTTTTTTTTTTTGGCTTTTATTTCGAAAGTGATGCGTCTGAACACCAAGGCATCATCAGGAAACCATGTCTTCAAGTGCACTAATATTCTGAAAACTGCACTTAGATCGTTACGAGACAATGTTAAAACTATAAATAATATACCATCGGAAAGAAGAAGATGTTGATGGGGGTGGGGGGTTGGGGGGGGGGGGGGGGGGGGGGGTTACAGAATAGAGAATGAGGGACAACAAGTATAACATGTATAAAGAATAGAGAAAATGGAACCAAAAAAAATCAAGAATAGAGATTAATAAGGTGCTTGAATAAAATGAATTGATAATAATAGACAAAAAGTTTAAAGAGTAGAAAAAAACGGCATATAAAAAATTAAACAATACAGAAATGAAGGACTCCTTCTAGATCCTCATAAAACTTTTCGTTAAAACAATATAACCTAATTCAAGTTCAGCATCGAGTATGTATCCTTGTAAATGCGTGAATTCTTTCTGTCATTTTAATAACAAACTTACTATTTATATAATATGTATTTATTTGTTTATTCAAGTTGCATTACAATAAAATAATTCTTCTTCGTCTTCTTCTTCCTCTTATAGTAATTGATGTATTCGTTATTTAATATTTTCTGTCTATAAAGACTGAGTTCGATGGCTCATGCCAATAATCAAAAGGTAATAAAATCAATGATCCTTAAAATATTAAAAACTTGGCAATTACAATGGCTATTTCACAATTACATCATATGTACACCTGTCATGGTATCATAGCTTCGTACATGTATGTGTAGTTTAAGGTTCTAACATATTTTTTAATAGCTTCTTTCTAAACACTATTGACGACATTGTTAAAACTACACGACCATATCATAAATCTCAAAATTAGTGGTTTAAAAAAAATATACGATTATGACCAAAAACCAAATTAAAAACCAATTAACTAAATTCTGTAGGAAGTAGCATATATTTACATGTAGTATACATTGTTTAGTACTTTTATTACAGCGGTATATATATACTTGTTTTGATCAGAATATGGTCTGTATATACTTGTTTTATATACAGACCATATTCTGATCATATTCTATGCTAAGATATTGACAAGACAGAAATAAATATATTTAAAGTCTTTTTTAATCAATTCATTTCACAGCTGAAGCAAATGTTCTTTCCCATTGTTGAATAAAGGTTAAATAAATGTGAACAATAAAAAGATGTATATTTCTTAGGCATGAAGCTAGGCAAATTCTTAAGTATCTTTGATAGCATTTTTTTCCTTATCTATGTATGCTGATATATTTGATAACTCTAGGTGTTTACCTAAAATGAATTGTATATTGTAAAAGTTTTAGATTTTTTTTTTTGATATTTGCTAAAAAAAACATTATCCGAAAAACCTTATAATAGCGTTTTGTCCTTTAATTCTGTTTTGTGACCTCCTAACCTACCTTCTAATTGATACGTTAATCCAAACAGTCGGCAGTGTGTAATTTTCAAACATACAAAAATCGGCTGTGGTGTATCATGTTAAAAATATACCCATAAATTATGAAAGTTTTCAATAATTTTAGATTAGATTTTGCAAGGAAATGTGTTTTTGTTTTCTATTCATATAGCAAAATTGGATAAATTTTTTTACACAAAGATGTCGATAAATAAATTGGATACCCTGCATTTACCATGCATTTCATACCATGCGGACTTCTCTTATACTGAGTTTTACTGTACGTACTGTTGTGCGTTTGTTTTTTCTACATTGGCTAGAGGTATAGGGGGAGGGTTGAGATCTCAAAAAACATGTTTAACCCCGCCGCATTTTTGCGCCTGTCCCAGGTCAGGAGCCTCTGGCCTTTGTTAGTCTTGCATCATTTTTAATTTTAGTTTCCTGTGTATAATTTAGAGTTTAGTATGACGTCCATTATCACTGAACTAGTATACATATTTGTTTAGGGGCCAGTTGAGGGACGCCTTCGGGTGCGGGAGTTTCTCGCTGCATTGAAGACCCATTGGTGGCCTTCGGCTGTTGTCTGCTCTATGGTCGGGCTGTTGTCTCTTTGACACATTCCCCATTTCCATTCTCAATTTTATTTCAATAGCGTATTGTCAAATTGTTGAAAGATATTCTCCTTAACAAGGAATCCGTTAGTATTGAAATTCGGAGCGATAATCCATGTCTGACTCGGTCGGAAGAATGATGAATGATATAAAGAATCATGACGGAGGTCCATTCTACTAATTACGCTCCTCGGCTCTTCGAGGATGTAACTATAGCATTCATTTCCCGATGTACAACGAGGCATCTCATTTAAAAGAGGTCAAAATCCTTGACCTATGGGTATGACGTAGCTATACCTAGCTATAAATACTGCGGCTATTACCTGTGCCAAGCATATTATTTTTCGAGCAGCGAGTTGTCTAACTCGTTATAATCTGTGACGATGTCCAGAATTTTAAGATTTTGTAAAACTGAGAACGCTGTTCCAGTATAAAATGTTTTATAAACATTAGTTATCTTGAGAACTTAATATCCAAGTTCGTTAAATACAACGTATTTTATCGTTGTTCTATTTTCTTAAAATACACTTGTACTGTAGTGTGAATCACACATGTGCTTATCACGTAATCAATGGTGGACCGAACGTGTTCACATTTTAATAATTTTGACATTTTTTCGTCTAAATAAATTGATACATTATCGTAGTTATTTTAACACGAATTGAATCTCTATACAGAAGAATATGGTATAGAACCACTAATTCAGGCCCGGTCGGAAAGAACATACAAGAAAGTAGTACATATTGTAAACAAAATAGTTCCTACGCATAGCTGTATCTTTGTCAATAGTTGGAATATTTGGGTAGTTTTAGTATCAAATGAAAGCTTGGGGACTTGGGATCACTGTAGAACCCTTATTGAAAGTTTTATTTGAATAATAAAGAAGTATATGAAATTTTAATAGGAGGGCTCATTTGGCCTGTTGTTCAGATCAGAAGTTCCTGTTTTTGTACTATCAAACTTCCGGGAACAAGTACGCTCTAATATGCAATTAAAGGTATGTTGATTTTTTCAGCACAAGTCAGGATAAGGTACAGTTTTGACATGAAATAACTGCCACTTTATTTGAACTTAAGACAAAGTAGCCATTAATGCTTGAATTTGCAGAATTTTACATAGAAAGCAATGGGGCTATGAATTAGTGGTTTTATACCTATTACTGACAGGCATGTGAAATTCTATTTTTAGAAATCATACCCTTTACAGTGAAAATTGGTCACATTTGTTGTCAGAAATCATGTTACATTATTTTTTTTATGTAACAATTATGTTAGTGTCAAGTTACAACCCTCAAATTGCTAAAATAAGGTATTTTAGCCTTTTTGGTCATTTAGCATGCACTCAGTTAAGATTTTACCCGAAATTTCAATTTTTGGATTATCTAACACTGAAACCAATGACTTGTATATCATGACTAGTTTACAGTATAAATATTGTTTTTGGTCAAATTATCTAGTGAGTGTTCATGTTTTATTGTGTTTCTTAGTGAATTACTTATTTCAAGGAAAATTGGTGTATACTTATGTAGGAAATCCAAAATCTCACTTGAAATGCATTTTATAACCATTTTAGCAAGTTGTCTAGCTTGGAGATACATAAATTGCTCTTGTTGATCCATGTTTATACATAAAAGTATGGTTTTTTACCAAATCACTCTCCTTTTCCAACATGTAGAAAAAAGGGGGGACAAAATTATCAATTATATTTTATGTTTGGACCACTGTATTTATATTGAAGGAAGAATCTCTGATAAAAATAAACATATAGGTAAGAACACTGTTATTTGAGTAGATATTAACAAATGAGAGCTGGGAAAAATTGAAAAAGTGTTATATCTGTCACTATTAGTATCCATAAGTAGTTTTCTTTGTTTAACGCATATGCTACTACCAGTCCAATTTGAGCTTGAATTCAGTGATATAGTGTTTTGACAAAAGCTTGATGTGTTTTTCTATGCTAGAAATAGATCATAGAAGGAAATTAAGTCAAGCAGAAGTCAATATAACAAGTTTGGTGCTGTTATAGGTATAGAACCACTAATTCAGGCCCGGTCGGAAAGAACATACAAGAAAGTAGTACATATTGTAAACAAAATAGTTCCTACGCATAGCTGTATCTTTGTCAATAGTTGGAATATTTGGGTAGTTTTAGTATCAAATGAAAGCTTGGGGACTTGGGATCACTGTAGAACCCTTATTGAAAGTTTTATTTGAATAATAAAGAAATATATGAAATTTTAATAGGAGGGCTCATTTGGCCTGTTGTTCAGATCAGAAGTTCCTGTTTTTGTACTATCAAACTTCCGGGAACCAGTACGCTCTAATATGCAATTAAAGGTATGTTGATTTTTTCAGCACAAGTCAGGATAAGGTACAGTTTTGACATGAAATAACTGCCACTTTATTTGAACTTAAGACAAAGTAGCCATTAATGCTTGAATTTGCAGAATTTTACATAGAAAGCAATGGGGCTATGAATTAGTGGTTTTATACCATATGAGTAGAATATCTTTCTTGATATTCAAGGTAAGTGCAAAATGTACGAAGGTGTACTCGTATATTCTTGCTATAATATACCCACGTAGTGACGTACAATTTATACATGCAAAGTGTGGAAGGAAATAAAAATAATTTCCATTGGATGGTTTTATCATTGCCTTGAAACTCATCAATGTAGATTTCAGATTATGAATAAAATTATTTGACACTTGTAAAATGATACATTCATGTACATTTATTACCATATCTTTATAAAAGATATCCTCATATAGTTGAAATAAGACAGTAGAGTGTTTCAGTCTTATATCTTGGCATTGTTATAACATTAATTATGAATATAACAAACAAAGCCTTAGAATAGATAAACAGTTACTCTTTTCTGAAGAAATAGTTCAAAGTTATTGTTCTCATTAATCAGAACACAATTGTAGATCTTGATCTTGCTGTCTACAAGGTATCAGTAATAGTAAACAACTTTTTTTACTGTAAAATATAGTTTGAGAAACAACTATAAAAATTATTTAGATTCTGCCAAGAAAGGATGCTTTACAATCTCAGTAATGATACTAGATATGATAAGCTAAAATATATTTATTAAATTGCAAATGGTAGCAGCAACGAATGTTAAAGAACTGTACAAAACAGGAAGATTTTTCTCTGAACATGCAAATTTTGCTTTGATGTTGGACATGAAATATCTGACATATTTTCCTTTTTAAAAAAGGAATACTATAATGTACATTGGATATGTGCATCACTAATCTTTATGTGACTAAGTGTTGCCTTGTTATAGGCTAATTTATATCTCTGTAAACAATTGTATATCAGTGTTTAGGGGACTAATCTCCTACATATTATTCATGTCAGATAGCAATACTGAAAAAAGTAGTATTACATGAATTTATGTAGAATTTATAAAGTTTCTATAATGATTATCAAATGATTATATTGCATATATGCATCTGTATTATTGAAATCCATGATGGAAATTAATATAGAAAATGGTGATCTTTCTAGACTCCATGAACTTGAAATAGAATTGCTATATTGATGCTTTTGTATCATCGGTTTATAAGAATTGACATATTCATAGTATGATAAATATATATTTTATATATCATTTATATATTTTTATGCTCCATCGAGAAATGCAACTTTGAAAAGTATTCTATAAAGCATCATAATTTGCAAAACAAATTGCAAACTTATATTTTGCTTACCACCTAAATCTGTACATGTACACTGGATTTTCTTTTCAGTTCAATTAGAAATTACTCTTCTTAATTACATGTAGTTATATTGCTCTAAATATAACATAGCCATATATAACATTAGATGTATATATATATAGAAAAATAGCACATGTAAGATGTATCATAAGCATATTGTACAGATATATGTTAATATAAAGAAATAGTTATATTCCTTCAATATCCAACATGTGTATGGATATCAGGATAGGTGAAGGTCATTTTCAAATGTTAGTTTACAATGAAGTATAAACTTTGTAACCCTTCTCCAGTTCTTTTCTAAGAAAATTATCAGATTATCAGACGAGTGTTCACAGAACAGTAATACTTAAATCTTAGGATTTTTAAAACACGCTGGATCAAGTTTTAATTCTGGATATATTGATCTATATCAATTCTTATAACATAATATATTAAATAGCTACACTTGTTTTTTGTATAATTTGTTTATACTTAATGAAATATCATAACGATGGTACTTTTGAGATGATTTACTTCAGAATGGTACATTAGATGCAGTATGTATATGTAGACCTAGTCTGTATGAAGTGTAGGACCTTAAGATTCAATTTATTATCAATACTGTTTGATATATATATATATATATATTACTCATATACTACATACTCATTGTCATAAACAAACATGGAATGCAAATTTACTGAACCAGACATCAAATACTATATTGCAGTTGGTATATTCCAGATACAAATGAATAAGAATAAATTTGTAAATAAAGTCACTTTATTAAGTGTCCTGAAAAAGAATTACAGTAGAGGCTGATCATCTTTGACATTTACATGTAGTTTTGAATAAGTCAACCTTTAATTAACAGGTGACCTTAGTGTGACAGTAATCACCTATTTATGACTATTTGATATGACTCAGAGAGGAGTTTTTGATTGAATCAATTTTTCTGTTCTTACAAATTATTAAAGACAGACTAAATTGCAAATGTCATGCAAAGGGATAATATTTGTAGAACTTGCAGTGACAGTTTTTAGCTTGTAAATATACTAGATATTTTACCATGGATTAATATTAGAAAAATCATGTATACATAATATTGAAAGCTTCAGATGACTAACGAAAATCTGTATCTGGCTGTGTTAACATCGTTATTTAAACTACTGTTTCCTGAATTTGTCTTCAAATTCTTGTTTTTTTTCATATATATCTGAACTACAGTGAGTGTCATGTTAGAAGAGTACAAAAAAGAAGGGCTAAAGAATTTTAAACACTTTCAAATATTTAAGAAAAGTGTTGCCGAATAACATGTCAGTAGATATTTAGATAATACAATTAATTGTTTATAAGCAAATATCAGGCAAATGGTATTTTTAAAATTCAAAACTTGTTATATAGATATAGGAAGATGTGGTATGAGTGTTATGTTCTTCATATAGTTAAGAGAATTTGTCTTGAATGTATAGAATAAGTTATTATTCTTGAAAACAGTGAAATTCAGACTACAAAATATATTGAGAGAAATAGATATTTTATTGTATATTTATTTTCAAAATTACTTTAAATGTTTTTGAAACTATTTATTTTTTATACCTGGACTAACAATATTGGTACTTTACCTTAATATTTAGATTATATTTATTATTAAGTCAGAAAGATTAGTTAGATTGACTACTATCTTAGTCTCCATTAAATTCTGGACTGCTTCAGCAAATTCTGATTTGCTCTCTGTTAGTTGTTCAGGGAACTACTTTTTTGTGCCAACACTTTGAATATGCTATAGTTACATCCTCGAAGAGCCGAGGAGCGTAATTAGTAGAATGGACTCTCATCCAAGTTTAACTTGGAATATGAAGGATGAGAGTCATTCTAGTAATAGAGCCTGAGGCTCAAGAGGATGTAACAATTTACCCACCCAGTTTGGATGGTACTATTTGCCCATCCCAATTGTTTTGGTTGCACAAACAAACTTTGAATCATGATTGGCACATGTAATAGCCGCAGTATTTATAGCTAGGTATAGCTACGTCATACCCATAGGTCAAGGATTTTGACCTCTTTTAAATGAGATGCCTCGTTGTACATCGGGAAATAAATGCTATAGTTACATCCTCTTGAGCCTCAGGCTCCATTACTAGAATGACTCTCATCCTTCATATTCCAAGTTATACTTGGATGAGAGTCCATTCCCTGTCATATATGTCGGTCATCTAAATTCACTGGGTCATCTTGCTTGAGAAGATATAAAGGAGAGAAAAAAACCAAGTCAAGTATAAACCCCTATTCCATGTAAAAGCTAAGGCCTTAGATATCATTTTAATTACTTTACGGACATACGTTTGCAATAATTTTTCATGAAAAGTCTTATTAAAATAGACCTCGGTCTTGAAATTTCGAGAGTTTCATCCGGATTATAAAACAAAAAATACAGTGTTTTGATTTTTTTTTAAAGGCTCGACAACCACAAAAGGCAAAAGATAATAGTTAATATCATTATGAAGCTGAAACTTTATTCTAAAACTTTGGCTATTTTTATGTTACTGGTAAAATTTCTGAATTTTCTACGATTTTCCGAAATTTCAGTTTGGAATTTCATTATTGTG